CCACCTGCACTTGGATGGTGGTTTTAGGGTGCAGGCTGTGCTCCTACAGGGATGGGGAGTGTATAGGCCTCCCTGTCCCCCACCATACACACACAGTCAGAGGCCAGACCTGGCTGCAGCTGCACAAACGTGACACGAGAACTTTATTCACATCAAGATACAAAATTATATTTCTCTAGAAATTTCTCTTCTGCTCGAGTGATGAGGCGAGGAACACACGGAGGGGACTCGGGGGCTGGGCCAGCCCCCCCTGCACCCAGTGCCCTCCCCACCATTGGGGACACACATGGACACGGGGAGCTGACACAGGACCACCAGACTGGGGTGCAGGAGAGCAGCTAGGGGAGAGGGGGACATAGCTAACTCCCAGCAGCATCACCTGGTCCCCTCTTCTGCAGGGGCTGGGAGACAGGAGCGCGGTCCCCCCTGCAGTGGCAGCGGGTGCGGTGGGGTTCTGTGCCTTGCACACAGAGGGACTCAGCCCTGTGTCCTAGGGGAGGGGGGACTTGGGAGGGGGTCTGTGGAAACGGAGCCAGCAGCACAGACAGCATCGCCCAGGGAGAGCAGCCCCACGGGCAGGGCGAGGAGGGCGCACGAAGCCGGGGGGCGCGGGGGAAGGCGAGAGGGGAGCGCTCCTCGCCATCACTGCGGCAGTGCCTTCAGGATGGCGTTCACCTCCTCGGCCACGGCCGTCAGCGCAAACTCAAACTGGTCCTGGGGGAGCAGAGGAGAGGGCCACGAGTGTCCCCGCCAGCCTGGCACTGGAGGCTGCGTGCACTCAGGGAGGGAGGGAAGCCCCAGTTTTGGGGGTACCTTGGTCTGCACCATGCCAGGCCGCTGGTCCCGGATGTGCTCCAGTGTAGCAGCTATGTCTATCTCTTTCACCCCTAGGGCAGAGTGGGAGAAGGGTGAGGAAGGACAGGGGGGCCGCAGGCTGAGCACATGGCCCTGCTCACCCCAGAGAGGGCAGAAGCAGTGCTGTCCTGCCCCTACCTTTGGCCATTCGGTTCAGGACCATGTCGACGAGGATGTAGGTCCCAGTCCTGCCCGCACCATCACTGCAAGACACGGATGCTTGCACCACAGGCCTGGGCTCTAGGGACTGGTCCTGGCCAGCAGGTCCCAGTCTCACAGCTACCCCTCAGCCCCTACCCACCCTGCAGCCCTGGTGGTACCTGCAGTGCACGATAATAGGGCAGGAGCGACCCCGGTAGCACTTGTTCACCTTCCTGCAAGGACAAGAGGGAGCAGGTCAGTGCCCTGTCATGCTGGGGACAAGGCTGTGCTAGGTGGCCCTTGCTGTGCTGAGCTGGGAGGGGTGGGGGGACAGCAGGCACCCCATGACATGGCCCTGGCGGCCTGGCAGACGCTTGCTTCTGCTTCCCCAGTGATGCTGGGTACGGGATGGGGACCGTGGGAAGAAAGGGGCTGGGGCAGGGAGAGGAGCCCAGCTCCTCGTGTGCCCAGCCCAGGCAGGGAGCAGTGGCAGGACCCCCAGTGGAGCAGCTCTGGTCCGGTGGGGCGCGAAGCTGGGGGCCAGGTGCCGGCGGGGCTCCCGGCATGCTCCATGCAGCAGGCACGGCTGCCAACGATCACTTTTGTGACTATGCAACTGGAGCCAGATTACTAGCTGCAAATCACAAAAATGACGCCGGCAGCTGCGAGAGAGAGACAGAGACAGACAGAGAG